GGCTTCTGACTCGCTCAGAGCGGTTGTTTCTGGATGCCCCGCTCTGTAGTGGGAGCTGCAACCAGGTTTCCTAATCCCTGCTCCGTAAAACATGGATAGATGCGAAGCGACTGGGGAAAGTAACTAAACCATCCTGCGTGTTTGTTTTCTTGCTGAAGAGTGACAAACATAGCGTGGGGAGGGAGCGGAAATAAAAACACTGACTGTACAAACAAAGAGTTGCCCAGTTTCTGGTCATACATGAGAAGTCCTGGGCAGCACTGGTATGAGATAGTCCTGGGACCTTTCTTAAAAGGGTTAGGAAGTCTCTTGTCTGTTGCCTGGGGTTGGGCGGGGGTGTGTAGAGACTGGGGTGAGAAACGCCGAGGAGCTGTCGCTGGTACCCCAGTGTGCAGTACTGTGTCTTGTCTTGAGGGATCTCCCTTCCAGTCTCACTGCCTTTTCTCGCTGGTTCCCAAATTGAGGTCAAGGAGGTTGTGGTGAGTGGGCTGTAGCAGGAACCATGGGGCTTTTAGGGTCTTTTTAATTAAAACCTTGACGATGGTGCGTGGGTGTTTGTTGTAAGTCTTCAGGGTTGACAGTGATCTGTAGTCCAGGATGTTTGGGAACTGCTACACCATCTAATCCTCTCTCTGGTGTCTGTCTTCTATGTTTCTGTGATAGAGATGAGAGCAGCTATAGTCCACAAGAAACAACTACAGAGGATGTGTTTATCCAGGAGGAGCCCTGCTGTTTTCCTTTGACAAGCATAAACAGGCTCCTCCCTGATGCGAGCAAAGTGCCAAGAGGTTGGACGGGATTTGTCCTATGATAATAAAATGCAGCTCCCAGCAGCTGCACTTAATTGGAAACTCGCCCAGGCACATTTCTAGTTAAATTTTGTGTCCTTGCTCTATTGGTTCATTTCACCCCATAATCACAGTCGGCAAACCCAATAGTTTCCTGGAACGGAAAACTGCTGTGTGTTTTATTTAAACCCTTCTGCTCATTGATCTGTTTTTGGAGGACGCTGATCTTTTGCGAAGGCCAAGGCTGCTCTGTTTGGGTATGACCATATTCCTGCCGTCCCACCTTCCCTGGCTATCGGTCTCATGGACACAGCAGCAATATAACAAGTCTGGAGTGTGAGTGGCAGAACCCAGCTGTGGATGGGAATGAAAAACATCCTGTTTGTTTGTATAAACAATGAGTCAGTTTTATTGGCAAAACATTCTCCGTCAGTGCCTTTCCAAGCAGAAAAGATCAAATCTGTCCAGG